AATAATTACAATTAAATTATTCAAAACACATCCGAAATCTTAGATCTCAAATCACACCAAATGTGTTGCTTTCCTTTTCTTCCCAAACAAATCACAATCACATATGCTGCTTTATTGAGACTTGGATTCAATTGTAATTTGTTATATTTCAAATCACTGCCTCTTTCAATAATTGAGCAAATTTTTAATCTCAAATCACGCCAGATGTGTTGCTTTCCTTTTCTTCCCAAATAAATCACAATCATATATGTGGCTTTATTGGGACTTGGATTCGATTGTAATTTGTTATATTTCAAATTATTGCCTTTTTCAACAATTGGGTCATACTTATTGGGCCATAACTCTAGTCGACTACAAGCTTCTTGAATCAATGGTTGGGCCATGTACAATGGGCCAACGGAAAGCGAATAGAAAAGTGGCTAAACAGAAAGTTAGGATTTTCACAAAAGAGTAACCCTCCGGTTCTCAATTTCTAATTATCAAATAACAAAATTCAACTCCTAGAACAAGGGTCGTAAGCACCCTTTTATAGACTAATTTCAAATTGATTCAAAAATCTAAAATCCTAAAAAAAATAAATCTTCCTAAAATAAATATAGTAGTAATTAACCTCTAAAATTAAATAAATAATTACAATTAAATTATTCAAAACACATCCGAAATCTTAGATCTCAAATCACACCAAATGTGTTGCTTTCCTTTTCTTCCCAAACAAATCACAATCACATATGCTGCTTTATTGAGACTTGGATTCAATTGTAATTTGTTATATTTTAAATCATTGCCTCTTTCAATAATTGAGCAAATTTTTAATCTCAAATCACGCCAGATGTGTTGCTTTCCTTTTCTTCCCAAATAAATCACAATCATATATGTGGCTTTATTGGGACTTGGATTCGATTGTAATTTGTTATATTTCAAATTATTGCCTTTTTCAACGATTGGGTCATACTTATTGGGCCATAACTCTAGTCGACTACAAGCTTCTTGAATCAATGGTTGGGCCATGTACAATGGGCCAACGGAAAGCGAATAGAAAAGTGGCTAAACAGAAAGTTAGGATTTTCACAAAAGAGTAACCCTCCGGTTCTCAATTTCTAATTATCAAATAACAAAATTCAACTCCTAGAACAAGGGTCGTAAGCACCCTTTTATAGACTAATTTCAAATTGATTCAAAAATCTAAAATCCTAAAAAAAATAAATCTTCCTAAAATAAATATAGTAGTAATTAACCTCTAAAATTAAATAAATAATTACAATTAAATTATTCAAAACACATCCGAAATCTTAGATCTCAAATCACACCAAATGTGTTGCTTTCCTTTTCTTCCCAAACAAATCACAATCACATATGCTGCTTTATTGAGACTTGGATTCAATTGTAATTTGTTATATTTCAAATCACTGCCTCTTTCAATAATTGAGCAAATTTTTAATCTCAAATCACGCCAGATGTGTTGCTTTCCTTTTCTTCCCAAATAAATCACAATCATATATGTGGCTTTATTGGGACTTGGATTCGATTGTAATTTGTTATATTTCAAATTATTGCCTTTTTCAACAATTGGGTCATACTTATTGGGCCATAACTCTAGTCGACTACAAGCTTCTTGAATCAATGGTTGGGCCATGTACAATGGGCCAACGGAAAGCGAATAGAAAAGTGGCTAAACAGAAAGTTAGGATTTTCACAAAAGAGTAACCCTCCGGTTCTCAATTTCTAATTATCAAATAACAAAATTCAACTCCTAGAACAAGGGTCGTAAGCACCCTTTTATAGACTAATTTCAAATTGATTCAAAAATCTAAAATCCTAAAAAAAATAAATCTTCCTAAAATAAATATAGTAGTAATTAACCTCTAAAATTAAATAAATAATTACAATTAAATTATTCAAAACACATCCGAAATCTTAGATCTCAAATCACACCAAATGTGTTGCTTTCCTTTTCTTCCCAAACAAATCACAATCACATATGCTGCTTTATTGAGACTTGGATTCAATTGTAATTTGTTATATTTTAAATCATTGCCTCTTTCAATAATTGAGCAAATTTTTAATCTCAAATCACGCCAGATGTGTTGCTTTCCTTTTCTTCCCAAATAAATCACAATCATATATGTGGCTTTATTGGGACTTGGATTCGATTGTAATTTGTTATATTTCAAATTATTGCCTTTTTCAACGATTGGGTCATACTTATTGGGCCATAACTCTAGTCGACTACAAGCTTCTTGAATCAATGGTTGGGCCATGTACAATGGGCCAACGGAAAGCGAATAGAAAAGTGGCTAAACAGAAAGTTAGGATTTTCACAAAAGAGTAACCCTCCGGTTCTCAATTTCTAATTATCAAATAACAAAATTCAACTCCTAGAATAAGGGTCATAAGCACCCTTTTATAGACTAATTACAAATTGATTCAAAAATCTAAAATCCTAAAAAAAATAAAACTTCCTAAAATAAATATAGTAGTAATTAACCTCTAAAATTAAATAAATAATTACAATTAAATTATTCAAAACACATCCGAAATCTTAGATCTCAAATCACACCAATTGTGTTGCTTTCCTTTTCTTCCCAAACAAATCACAATCACATATGCTGCTTTATTGAGACTTGGATTCAATTGTAATTTGTTATATTTCAAATCACTGCCTCTTTCAATAATTGAGCAAATTTTTAATCTCAAATCACGCCAGATGTGTTGCTTTCCTTTTCTTCCCAAATAAATCACAATCATATATGTTGCTTTATTGGGACTTGGATTCGATTGTAATTTGTTATATTTCAAATTATTGCCTTTTTCAACAATTTGGTCATACTTATTGGGCCATAACTCTAGTCGACTACAAGCTTCTTGAATCAATGGTTGGGCCATGTACAATGGGCCAACTGTAAGTGCATCAGTTTGCCATAGTTTGATATACATGATTTTTAATTATCATGTTTTGCAACCTTGTTTTCTTTGGATAGAATAAATAATCTGTTTCTCTGCGGTTCTCTGCACACATGCTCTTGAATATTATAGATATAAGAGGAAATGATAGTAATCCTTGTTGTATTAAACTACACAACATTGGTGCTATTATATAGCAAACCAATTGAAGAATACAAAGAGACACACTCAATGTGGGACTTCTACACTATTAACACTAACACTCTTAACACTCCCCCTCAAGCTGTAGCATATAGATCATATGCTACAAGCTTCATACATAAATAATACTCCCATTAGGAACCAAAAACAACAATGCTACATCAACGAAATGAAATGACTAAGTACAACAAATCAACTGGAATGACCATCAGTGTGAAGAGCTGATAAAGAGACAGTGCTGGAATGGACATCAAAGCATGGATGGTGCCGGAAATATCATCGGCAAAGACAACTGAGCTAACCAGGACATCAGCATCAAGATCCCTCTCAGACATTTCATTTAACAGTTGGTGAGCAGCCGTGGTTTCCCCTTGACTATGCTACAAGCTTATTACAAGAAAGACCAAGTAACATAACATCAAAATAAATCTCCTAAATTAGAAACCAAAAATCAACAATGTGCTAAAAATGGCGTCGAAATGAACATCAACATGGAAGATGCCGGAATGATCATCGACAAAGACAATTTTGCTGGAATGACCATCAGCAACATGGACGGTGCTCCCCTCAAGAAGAACTTCTAAACAGTGTCGGAATTATCATCGGCAAAGACAATTGTGCTGGAATGACCATCAACAACATGGACAGTGTTCCCCCTCAAGAGGAACTTCTAAACAGTGCCAGAATTACAATCGGCAAAGACAATTGTGCTGGAATGACCATCAGCAACATGGACAGTGCTCCCCCTCAAGAGGAACTTCTAAACAGTGCCGGAATTATCATCGGCAAAGACAATTGTGCTGGAATGACCATCAGCAACATGGACAGTGTCCCCCTTAAGAGGAACTTCTAAACAGTGCTAAAATTATCATCAGCGGAGACAACATCAGCAACTTGGACAGTACTCCCCCTCAAGATGGATGATGACTAGTATAAATACTCCATCTTGGGAAGAAAGAAGATTAAAGAAAAACAAAGCTTCGCGGAATCGGAAAAGTCGCCGGAGACGGCGGTGGGTCGTCGGAAAAGTCGTCGGAGACGGTGGTGGATCGCCGAAAAAGTCGCCGGAAAGTCATCGGAAAAGTCACTGGAAAAGTCGCCGGAGACGGCTGTCAACGGTGGACGACGCGGTCAACGGTGGTCAGTCAACGACAACGGTGGTCAACCCAACAACTTCCCAAGGATCATTCTTGTCTGATGTGACAGATCAATCTAAGCTGCAGTCACAAAGCATACTAAGAAAAATCCGAAAAGGAAATAGCAACGGGAATCCCTCAAGGAGGGTGATATCTCTCTATAACCATATTAAAATTATGGAAAATAGAACAAAGTTGAACGAATTAAGATTCCTCTTGTTAGGCTCTAGATACCATGTTGAATATTATAGATACAAGAGAAAATGATAGTAATCCTTGTTGTATTAAACTACACAACATTGGTGCTATTATATAGCAAACCAATTGAAGAATACAAAGAGACACACTCAATGTGGGACTTTTACACTATTAACACTAACACTCTTAACACATGCTTATGAGTATTTTTTCCCCACAGTCATTAGTTGAGTGGACATGTCAGGCTAATTTGTTGAATCTTTTCTTTTGAATGTATATTTGTTTCCTCACTTCTGGAGGGTATGTCATCATTGTATTTTATTACTCTTTTCCCTTGAATAGTTTTTCTTTTATTTTTTTCCTTCTAAATGAAAATTTTCTCTACTTCATCTACAAGATGGTTTTTTGTGGTGTTAGAAAAATGTTTGCCTGCACATAGTTTTAGTTCAAGGCATTGAATTTATATATCTTCTTCATTCTCCATAAGCTTAGCTAAATTTGCTGAGAATTTTGGGTTTGGGTTTTTGACGACTATTGTAATTTGACGGTGAATATTTTTTACAGTTCATAGTGATAGCCATGGTGCAAAAAGAATAAGAAAGCTTACTCAACGGAAGGCAGTTGATTATACGAGCACAGTTGTGCGTTATATGCAGGTAATGATTAGTGCTTACTAATGGAATTATCAATTTACATTTTCATCCAAAGGCTCATAGCGATATTGCAAAGCTTTTCACTTGGTCATCTCCATCTGTGCATATTTCACTTGGAAATTAATAGGTAATCTGAATCTGCCTTCAGATTCGTATGTGGCAGCGGGATTCAAGGGATAGGACAGTACTGCAACCTACCCTGGCAGCAGCAATTGATGTCAGTGAGCTTCTTTTTGGTTTTGTACCTTTTTTTTATTTGTTTCAAGTTTGTTTGCACTTTACCTTTATCGTAATAACATAGCTTGGTTGATTTTGAGAATTTTTTGTTGTAATCATCAACTTGTTTCCATAGATTTTAACCTTATGCTATGTTTCATGCAGATGTTGCCAGCAATTGGCTATTCAGACAATCCATCTACAAGCTTTGCTGCTAAGTTTGTTCATACATCTCTAAATAAAAATCGTTGTCCTATTAATCGTGTTCTTGTAAGTTAGTTTGAAATGTTGTGATTGGTATAATATGTTATGCTGATATCAGTTAGAGATATGCCGGCTGCATGTTTTTCTGCTAAATTTGTTCAAACATTTCTGAACAGAAGATGATTCTCATTTGATTGGATTTTGTTATGATAGGAAATAGATTTCTTGAGTTGCATGATTTGCGATGTTTTCAACTATGTATATCAATGAAAAAATTTACTGCTGACTTTATTCAGCATGTATAAAACAAAATAGGTATCCTGTTAACTTGTTTTCTGAGTTGGTTTTTGATGGAACCCAAAATGCTCACTGTTTATTTCTTTTAATCAATGGAGGCAAAGCCTCTTACAAATACAAGAACAAGACACTAATAAGACCCTTCCTAGCTCACCCTTTGAACCAATAGACCTAGGCTCCAATAGATCCCCAATTTCCCACTCACCAGAATGCTTAATTCATGCTCCGCTCACTCCACCGATTCCCTCTCCTTTTATCCCCTCCTCTAAGAATAATCTAAAAGAATCCCCTACTAACTAACTTACTCCCTCTTTTTTAGGCCTGTCAATATTCCCTCTCCAAAACTTACCTTGTCCTCAAGGTGAAGAAAGATGACAGGTAATGTGAGAGAACTTCCACCCGAGTCCCATTATTTGAAGCATACAGACTAAGTAATGCATGAAGTGAAGGAACTAAGTAATGCATGAAGTGAAGGAACTGTCATTGGGTACATTTGCTACTTTTTTCAACAAAATTCGATGGTCACATTGTCTACTTGGAGGTAGTCCAGTAGGTTCCTGGAATACTCTTGAGAAATGTTGTAGTATGTACACCCCATTTGCAACCGGTTTGTTGTCATTGCATATGATATTAAACACAGTTACAATCAAAGCAATTAAATTAAAATTACGGATAATTTTTTTCTTTTTATTCTTTTTATGGGGGTGAACCGGAGCAGTGGTAAAGCTACTCCTTCATGACTGAAATGTCATAAGTTCGAATCCAGGAAACAACCTTTTTGTATGCAAGGGTAAGACTGCGTACAAGGATTACCTCCACCCCGCACTCACTAGTCGGGTTTAACGGGGAGTGGTATTTTTATTTTTTATTCTCTACATAACATTGATTATGTACTTACATAATTCAAAGATTTAATTGCAACTCATACATTGTGCGGAAACTCATCAATTGACTTAATACCATACTCTTTACATAACAGTTGAAATTGGAATCTAAACTTTAACATATATCCAGAAATATGGACTAACTTTTACCTTACTAAATGTGACCCTTGGCTGTATATCATGCTCATTATGAAATATGGGCTTCTTGCCACGTGATGAGATAAAAATCTCAGTAAACTAAGAGTTCTTGGAGGATTACTCCACCCTATAGTTCACTTCACATGCATCACATTAAAATAAACATAACATACGCACATCATACTCTGTCATTTCTATACTGTATACTCTGTTCTTTGATATGGAACTTTCAAGAGAGGTTCACTAGGGCTGTGTCTCTTTGGTATTTCCTTATAGAGTTCCATTTAAGGCTATATTCCTAGGAAATACTCCACAAGGAGTCCCTCAAGGGGCTGTGCTCCAAGGGAAATAGATGTCTCTGTGTACATACATATATTTCTATTGGCTAGAGAATTCTCATAAACATACATATATCTCATGCATCCACGGATGTATCATATCATGTTCTAATACTACAATGCACATTTATCACTGAAACCATTACTCCAATGGAGCATGGTGGAACTTAACCCCAAGGTCCAGAAGTTTACTTGTTGTAAACTTCTGATACTTGCTGTTTTCTGCTTCAAGAGCCTCAATTACAACACATCTCACAAGGAAACCTATGGCAAAATGTGGAATTGTGATTATTAAATCATACAACACACAACATGTTAAGCTATTGACTAGAAATCCATCATTTTCTTATAAATCTCAACTTACCCTCTTTGGTAGAAATCAAGAAACTTGAGTCTTGAACAATTGTTGGTTCCCACGGTTGCTCTTCAACCAATATATCAATTGGCTCAACACTACACAACCAATAACAACACAAGACTATCCATCAATATTCCATTCTCACGACTTAAATCACAAAATCATACACTTTTCATGACCAATTTCTAAAGTATGGTCAAATGGTGATTTCTTTGGTTTTCCTTTATCAAGAACCAATTCTAAGCATGTTCTACAATGGAATATTTATACAAATAAACTTCTAATTCATCAAACCATCAAATTTTCGTGGCACTATTCACCAAAAATCTAAGATTTTCAAAAATCCGTAGAAACTTGAAATTAATGGATATTTCTTACCATAAATCCTCCTAGAATCCTTGGAGGAAGCTTTCCCAAGCACCAATGAGCTCAAACTCTCTCAATAACCCAAAACTCCAAAATCTCTCCAAACTTTGTGAAGGAAGAAACTCATTACACAATGCCTCGAATTCGAAGATGAAAGTTGGGTTTTACCGAGGATGAGATTCCAAGCAACTTTTAAGTTGAAAGTTTTTGGTTTCATGCACTCTAGCTCAATGTGTAGTTTTCAAGTTTTCTCTCTCTACAAATGGCCATCCACATGTCGTGAGGAAGAAGAGGTCAAAGGTCATGCTTTTCTTAAGTGTAAAATGTGAAGTCTTTAAGTGTTTTACTCACTTATGACTTGGTCAATGACTTGGTCACTTACTCTATTAACCTCTCTTTTTATCTTATTCTAGCCAATTAGCTTAACATTTCTAATATGTCCACTAATTTATTTACAATTTGTATATTTGCATTTATCCCAAAACTCTTTATAATTGCACTTTTATATGAAAAGTGACTTAATTATTGATAATTAGATTTCTGATCTAATTATTATCTGATAAATTATGGAAAATTCCTAATTACTTATTTTACAGGTTTGGGTTATTATATAGTATCTCTACCATATCTTGTGATTGTTCTTCTTTTTTACCCTCCTCCGTAGTCAAAAATCCTAACTCTACATAATAACCTTTTGTCTTCTTCCTTCAAGCTTTATTGAGCCTTTTAAAGGTCACCCTTTTCCTTGATTACTTTGGATTCTATTGTAACTCCACCACACAGAACCCTAATTCTATATAATTGTAAAGAACCCTAATTCTAACAATAATATTCCTCCACTCCTTTCGTCCAAGAACGATTGAACCCCTTGTACGATAACCTACTGCAAGAGAGAGACGGGTCCCCCTGGATGATAGCCATCTGCCCCTGGATGATACCTATAACCATGCATGCATTGTTCATTGTAAGTCCCAACTCTGTTGCCAGCTTGCTAGCTATGAAATTACTACTAGGTCCACCACCTTACGCCCTCTGATCTCTTCCTACAGTTTGAGTAACCTGTTTGTGGTTAGTTCTACCACATTGTGGGCACTAAGATGGAGAGGTTATTGCGTCTCTGTTCCTTCATTCTCAGCCATCAAATCCTTTGCCCCAGCTTCTGGTTCCTCATTGTCGATAAGCATGCCATTTAGGTGGGCAGCGCACATGATCTGGTGAATAAGACGCTTCACAACAAAAACACAGATTCCGTTGTCGTTTGTCATTTAATTCGTCTGACGACAAGTGTCTGAGCCCTGCTAAACTCTCTCCTCCATTTCCGTAAGGGTTTCGTCTAGCCCTATTTTTTTAGTTGGAGGATGCTACATTTGTTCGATTAGAGTCCCTTGACCCAGCCAACATGTTATGATTTGGGCCATTCGTTTGTATTGTATTTTGTGAGCCCAACCTACTTGTGTTTCGTCCTTCATTATGTACTAATGTGGGCTTATTTTATGGATTATTAGCATTTGTGGCCCTATTGTGCAAAGCGGGTCTGAAATAATGCCCTCCTCCACTATCTATTTGGGATAAGTCTGGGCCATTACCTTGAATTACCCTTCTTTGGGCCAAAGCATTTGGACTTGTTCGCCCTATCACGTGAACTCCCTGCACCCCATTTCGATTTTCTATATTTGATAAAGCGGGTCGTCTTCGATACCTGCTTCCTCCTCCAGGCTTAATTCCTATGTGGCTCAAGATTAGTTCCCTTTCTTCCACTCTCTGCGCTAAGGCCATATTGTTGAGATATTCAAGTGTGATGAGTCCCACATTGGTTGGTAATGAGCTAAGTGAAGAGTATATAAGTGAAAGGACCCATGAACCCAATGCCTTAAGGTTTTGGGTTGAGACATGGTGTCGGATCCACTTGCTACGGTTGGTGTAGCCTTAGCTCATTGGTGGTGGCCCCCGCCACGGGCTTCCCCTGGACCCGCTTGACATTGGAGTTTGAAGGAACGAATTTCCCAACAGTGGTATCACAGCCGGATTGGGCTCGAGCTAGCCTAGTGATTGGCTAGGAGGCGGGTCGAGTACTTTGCGCTTCGGGTACTCGGTTGAGGGGGAGCATACCAATGGTGGGTTTCACACTTGAGGGGGAGATTGTTGAGATATTCAAGTGTGATGAGTCCCACATTGGTTGGTGATGAGCTAAGTGAAGAGTATATAAGTGAAATGACCCATGAATCCAATGCCTTAAGGTTTTGGGTTGAGACATGGTGTCGGATCCACTTGCTACGGTTGGTGTAGCCTTAGCTCATTGGTGGTGGCCCCCGCCACGGGCTTCCCCTGGACCCGCTTGACATTGGAGTTTGAGGGAACGAATTTCCCAATGGGAGGAGTCTCTGATGGAGGATCCGGAGGAGAAGAGCCGACGGGAAAGGGCGATGAGTCATCAAGAGGCAAAGTCGGAGGAGGTGCAGGCTGACGACGCTGGTATGTGAGGAGAGGACGATCTGCAGGTATGGAGGTAATTGGTTGCTCCTCTGGAATAGGGTCACCTGCAGCTGGTAAAGACAAGTCAAGAAAAGGAACAGGAAGGACCTGATCAACTTGGGACACTGGAGACGGAGTAGAGTGAAAAGGCTGCTGATCAAGGAAAGTGACATCAGCAGAAACGATATAACGCTTGAGATCAGGAGAATAGCA